GCTCAACAGCGGGTGTCTGAGGGTGCTGAGGGCTTCCCGGCCGCCTCCCTCCTGGGGCCTGCGCTGCGGGAAGCGCTGGCGCTGGGACGCCTCAGGTGCTGGGAGTTGTGGTGCAGGTGACAGCGCTCAGGGGCGGGCAGGATATAACGTGAAGGGATTTGTTATCCTCTACGTGCCTTTTTTTTTCTTTCTTTCTTTCAAGGTTTGTTGGCGTGTCTGTGAAACTTCAGTCGTGTTGCTGAGTGTTTTGTTATTCATTTTTTGGGCGCTAAGCGTTTATATTTGCCTCAATATGGCCCTTAAAACGACTTCCCAGACACGAAATGATTCTGATAACAAACACCACGTTGGGCATTGGGCTTTTTCTCTCACTTTATGTAGTGGTTCTTGCTTTGGGTCAGAGGGGGACAGTGGAGTGGCTAAAAAGGTTGCTGGGTCTGTGGGGCTGCTCTAGTGTTTTTTACTTGTAGGAATGTTATGCTGAGTGTTCACATGGAAGAAAAGAAGTGTGAAGAAAAACGTTAAGGCAACACAAAAAGCTGACAGAAAAAAGTGCTGTGTATTCCATCACACTTTTTCTGTGAGGTTCAGTGTAACCCAGTGTGGATATTCAAGAGTGCAGTACACTGCAATTGTGATTGTACATCTTTTTTATATAAGAAACCAGCTTATTATTGTATAATGCTGATAACTGTGTACTTGTACCTCTGTCTTTACTGCACAGTTTGAAGAAACTCTTCTGCTTTAACCTGCAGGTTTGTTCTTTTTTGCTTTTGTGTACAATGCAGGAGCTGTGGTGATTGAGACACTGAAAAAATAAGGTGTTTTTTTTTTAAGAGTGCAGTGTAGGGTCATAATAGCCTTACAGGTTTGTAGAAGTCCACTTTCCTTCTTCAAGAGGTTTCTATCATCTGTAATATGTCAAGAACTAGCATGATAAATAATCCTAATACAAACTGTATTGAAAAAAAGTGTTTCTTCCAGGTACCTGCAGCGACGCGATGGCGACAGAATCTCCGCGCCGCCCCAGTCGCTGCACTGGAGGGGTGGTGGTTCGACCACAAGCTGTCACGTAAGCAAGTTCTAGAAGAATAGCCCTAATTTGAAATGTTTTTTGTTTTTTTTAAAAATTATTTTCCTGGGGAAGAAGAACCTAGCCTGAATTTTCCTTCAAAGCCAGCTGTGATGGCTCGTGTTGACCGTACGGTTTTGTTGCACTGAGTATTTTCCAATAAGATAAAGTAAACAGATGTTGCATTCCTGGCTCCTAGGACTGTGCAGGACAAACTGTCTCCCTAAATGGGATGCTTTTAGTTTATACACTAAAACCTTCCAAGTAGTACATTTTAGAGATGAGTATCTTGCAATGTTTTGTTGTTTGTTTGCACATTGTTTGCTGTACAAACACTGCACTAGCTGGGGATCAATGATTGCAGACTCCTTCCTTAGCCTAGAAGGGACATGCTACCCATGTTCCTCTCTTTTGAAAAGTACCTTTTTACAGGCATGGATATATTAAAACATATCAGCATGTCATTCAAGTCCTTCAGTAAGTGGAATTATGGATTCTAATCTTTTTGCTCAAGAGTACAAAACCAAGAGCAAAGGAAGAAGCTAACTCAGAGCACATAAGAGACCAATTTCATTTCTTGAGCATCCTTATTTTAATTGTGTGTTGGACTCCTAGATTCTTAACAATGGACTTTTTTTTTTCTTTTTGTGGGTTTTGTCATTGTTTGGATTGTTTTTAAGCAGTTTAAAGATATCTTTTGGGAAGTTTTTCAACTTCAGGAGAGATTCAGAGTACAGACAGGGAATAAAACATTTCCCAAACATCAAATTTGTTTCAAGATATACTGTGGGGGGTGAGGAAGAAAAAAAGTACTTATTTCATCAGCTGAAAAATGAAGACAGGATGACTCTTGCTGGTAGGCATTCACGTGAGAGCTTCAAAAGCTATTTAATACTATACCTGTAGACAAGTGTTATTGTTAGGTAATAAAGGGCTCTGAAGGTACACAGAGACAGTTTTGGTGACCTACATAAATCAAAGAAGAATCAGTGGTTGAAACCACAGCTTATGAATTATAAGGCCTCAACTTGAAGCAGGAAGACAACTTTATTTGATGCAGTAATCCTTGGATTGCTGAACAAGATCTACTTTTGTCATGAGTTGGAATAAGCTTGCTAAAATGTAAAATGTTATGGTTTAGATTTATTTTTGTTTTCAAAGAGGAGTCAACCAGTTAAGCTGATCCAAGAGTTTCAGCATCTGACTTGAAGTATCTGCTGTATTGCTATGTATAGGGCAGAGTTCTTAACTACTGCTACCTACTACTACTTAACTACGACAGAATTCTTAGCTACTGAAAACTCTCTTTAAAGCATCCAACAGCACAGTTTCAGAAAGCATGAAGAAAGCCCTTTTAACTTTGGACATGAAGAGTACTAGATTTCCCAGTTAACAATTTTTCTTTGTGGCTATTAGAAATCAGGAGCAAACATGGGAAAAATGGCTACCAATGTAAAAATTGATCTAGGGACTACCAAAGCTGTTAACTAAAGAGTTAATTAAAGAAAAGTAAATAGTTCCAGACTTCATGAAGGTAATACTTGTTGCCAGCCTGTTTCAGTATTATTCATTATAGAAAGCACAAACTTTTGGTGTTGTTTGAACACCATCTGTCTAAAGATAGTCAGCCCACATTGCGTTGCTCAGCAGTTACACAAGGCTCACCTCTCACAAAGGGCTAAGCTACTAAAAGCATTAGTTTAAACCTGAAGAAATGTATCTTGCAGTATATACTATTCTAAATCATTGCTGCTAATGAACTTTCAAGAAGGAGTAAGTTTCCCAAACTATAAAATAGTATCTGAAAATACCTCTCCTTGTTATTATTAGTTAAGGTTTGGTTCCATCTCCTGCACCCAAGTGGTACCACTTCCTTCCTCACTGCACATAATGCATAGAGGGCTTACAGTTTACTTGCCCCACAAGCAGAACTCCGGCCCTTAGCACAAGTCCTCATCTTCATGTTGTAATAACTAAATCAAGTAGAATACTGCAGAAAGATTTCCAAATTACAGTTCTGCTTCAGTCAGCCACTCCCATGTGGAGAACATGGTTTCTATTTTTGCTGTTATATTTTATACTTTTCCCCCAAGCAGCTGTTTCATAAACAGGTATCACTTGTTTTTTTTACAGACTTTTAGGCCACTCCTTATGTTATCGGAGTGTTTGACAATGTATTAAGTAGCTGCACTGCATACTAAGTATTTTCTTTTGTGCTGAAGATTATACATGATTTTTTCTAGTGATGTGTCTTATTTAATATATTCACAACTGCTTCTGAACTTCAGTGGTTGTTAAAATTCTCCTTCTGTTTTCAAGGGAACAATCGTATATGGAAAGTGTTGTCACGTTTCTTCAAGATGTTGTGCCACAGGTAGGTGTAGATCTTTAAAACTCTTTGTGTGTGCAGAGCAGTTGAATCAGGTGGACTGAAATATCATTGAAAAATGGGTTTTTGTTTGCTTTTTTAATGTGAAGCTTGAGACCAGATTTGTCAAAGGATAGACTGTGTGCCATCTGAAAACTGGGCCTACAGATATCCTCTGATAGATAATAGTTTAATTTAAAATCTTAGCTACCCAGTGTCCTGGTTTGAGCCAGGATGAAGCCCATCAGCTGAAGAATTACAATACAAATGGCCCGAAGAAGATTGCAGCCTTTTCCTACGATGATTTTTGGCAATAGAAAATTAGGGGATGGGAATGACTGGGTATAACCCTTCCTCTGCTTCCTACAAATACTGTTTTTTGTGTTGTGGTATGAAACCTGTTCATGAACCATGGCTGGACTGGTGTTAGAGCAACTTGGTAGATGCCCTTGGTCACCTTAGCTTTGGTCATTGGCTGAAAGGAGGAAGTTTCTTTTGCCTCCTTTTCTTCCTCTTTTTTTTTTTTTACCTCATTTTCTTAACTTGCTTCAGAGCGTCCTGGCTGATGTGGGACTGTGGAGCTCTGTCTAACCTGTTGGTCTCCAGCATGTTTTTACAAAACAGAAGTCCTCACTCTGCTTTTTAAAATACATATTTTCGTGGCTTTTTTTTCTCAGTTTCTGGGATCATCCTATCTGGAGAATAATTATGATGCTTATGTCTGCTCTCGGTCATAGTTTTCACAGGTAGCAGCAGCATGAAACTGAAATTGTCACTTCTGTATTGCTCATGGGCCTTCCAGTAGCAAAGGGAAACAGTTTGGTTTTTTTTGTTACTACTTGGGAAGGCTGTAGTCTGTAGTTGAGAAGCATTGCAGCTATTTTTTTTGTAGCCTTTAGGAAACTATCTTGGTTCTTATTTGAAGGATTATCTTGGTTAGTCAGTCACAAATTTCCTCAAGAATAATATAAAAAATTTCCCCTCACTAACAAAAATTTGTGAAGTGCATTTTTGATTTTTGGTCAAAATTAAAAACAATCCAACTTTCATTTAAGAGGTTGCTGTGTTTCACCCTCCCCCCCCCCCCCATGTTTTCCTCTCTGTAGTTAAAGGATACAGTCTGTGTTTTATTTTACAGATCAGTTTGCCTTGGAAGCATGGAATGTGATTTGTTTTGAAAAGTAACACCCACACTTATTTTTTAAATTTATATTTTCAGTGCATCTTATTGCTTTTCTGGCATACATAGTGATTATAAAAGCTCCTTCCGTATTCAATCCAAAATACTCCGCAGCATTTTCTTACAATTCACTTGGAAGTGATAGTGTTTCTACTGTAGTTCACATTCTTACTACCATAGTTTCTCCAGAGAACTGTAGAACTTGCAGTTTGGAAACAATGCAGATCTCCTCTATGGTTTCTTTTGTCTCATCTTTTAATGGGAGTTTGTAGAGTGCAGAACTGAAACATGGATCTTTTCTACTGGAATTGCAGTTTATTCTCATTTAAATGGCTACATTAAAGATGTCACAAATATAACTGAAACATATTGGTAAAATAAACTGTAGTACAGGTCTCTTTCTTTTCTCAGTCTTGCTTACAAAGCATTTAAGTGAATCAAAGATAATTTTTAAAGTAAAAATTCTTCACATGAGAATCTCTGGCATTGCTTTTAGTCATGTGCAACTGCTAAAGGTAAAGACTGTAGAAGCCACTGTTTTTTTACCTTGACTAATTGCTGTGAGTCACCTGGTATTTCTAACCTGTTCCAGTGGACTTGTTATATATGTCTTGTCATTTCTAACTTAGTAAGTGATGTTAAACTTGTTGATTTATATTTAGTATAGTGTTTGTTGGTCACAAAACCATTCTTTTTTGAAACAAAACCTCATGGGAACACTGCTGACAGTCAGATACATGCATCTCTGTTTTTCTTTTTTAACTTGCATTTCCTCCTGTGGTCTATAGAGGGTGGAAAGAAAGGTGCTGAAATATCTAGTCTTTTGCTTTTCATCCAGGCCTACAGTGGTACCCCACCAGAAGAAAAAGAGAAGATCGTTTGGGTCAGATTTGAAAATGCAGATTTAAATGGTATGGCTTCATTTTTTTTCTCACTTACTTTTGTCTTTTTTAGGTCCATGCTCAGTAATTTCAGTCAGCTTTATCAGTGAACGTTGACTCAAGTATTTAATTTCCCTGTTCTTAAACAGACTAAATTCTGAGTGAATAATTACACTGCTGTATTTACCTCACAAATAGAACAAATAGGCCTTGTGACTTCATCTAAAGACAGACTAAGGCTTACTTAGGGAGAGAGACAAATCTGAAACAAAGTCCATTTCCTTTCCTTAAAGTAGTCGAAAACAAAGCATAAAACTGAATTTGTTTTTTCTACTGTTTTGTTTCAAAGGCAGATTATCTAACTGTGAATCCAGTCCCAGGTATATTTGCAGTGCTGTGACAGAATTCAGAGTAAGCTGGAAAGGAGGAGCTGCTGGGGAAGAACAGCAGGAGATTCCAGGATGTCTTTCAGGGAAATAGTAGAGCAAAGCTACAAACTATTCCTAAAATGTAACTTGTTGATCACTTCCAGAGCATCTTAAATTATTGACAAAGACTGCTGACTTGGTGCAGGCAACAGGTTTCCAGCCACTTCAGAGAAGGTGGTGATTGCTACAGTCTTTTGCGGAGAATATCCAGCAGATCCCCACTTAAGATCTGAGTTATTCTGCCTAACTATCCTGGTTACTTTTTTTTGGAATAAGGAGGGTTATGGCCTGAATGAGAAATGGTTGAATGCTGCTGTGAATTAGTTACTTCTTGAATTAATGGAACATCTTGGTGGTGTTTGTGGTGCATGATACGTGTGCTTGTCATAGCAACTTGGAGATCTAAGGGTACTGCCTTCTGGAGAACACTAAATCTGAGTCTTATGGGAAATTGTGTTGGTTTTTTTTTTTGTCTGCCATCTTTTCTGTCTAAAGCTCTATGGGAAAGGCTCATTCAGGTCTCAGATGAAATAAGAGCAAGCATAGCCAGAGCTGTGATGGGAATTTTCAGCCTTTCGAAGAGGTGAACAGGGAATATTGTGTGTTTTCAAGCTGCTGAAATGGCACTAGAGGCTGGCAGTTCATAAATTTCAGGTTATTAGAACTAGGAAAGACCTATCAACCTGTACATGACATTACCTCCAGCTTTAGGCTAGTTAAGGTTTGTTTGCTTGTGGGGTTTGTTTTCCTCCCATGTTTATTTAAAAAAAAACCTCAGGCATTTCATCTTTAGGCTCTTTTCTACAGTATAACAGAACCTCTTCAGAATATTGTATAGAATTCATATTAACATTCACTTTTGTGCAGCCTAATCTGATTGGGCCTGAATAAATTCCCTTTCACCATCTTTGATATTTCCTCTCTTTCTTTGATGCTTACATGCTTGCAGTGAGCTTTCATTCATTCTGTCAAGGTTGCAAATGTAATTTTAGAGGCTTTACTCCAGAAAATATTTTCATTAATATGTCTTGTAGCACTTTAATTCCAGGCAATGTTCTTCATTTGATAAGGTTGATGTAATGATTAATTACATAGGATCTAGAAATAGTTTTTACCAGTTCATGCATTTGAAACTTCTGTAGTTGTTAATTTTGTTGGTCCTGTGCAAATTTGTTCTCTGTTTGAAAAATTTGCCGTTTTATTAATCACTGGAGAAAGAGTTGCAGAAGTTCTTGGAGTTTTTACTGACAACCTACATTGTAATTCAGAAGATTTTTCTCCATGATTTTTAAGCTGTGAAACTTTAACAAATGTTTGTCTAAATTAATATATTTCAATATTGTTCTACTGGAAAAATTTAAGTCACTTTGCTTGCTCTTACTTAGCACAATGGAAATGTGCATTGAGAAAACACCATATAACTGGTACCAGCCATGGTTGAGTTTCACCTGTTAATAATGGCTTTCATATTTAAATCCAATGTAGATACATCAAGGAATATGGAGTTCCATGAAATACACAGCACTGGGAATGAGCCACCACTACTGCTAATGATCGGATACAGTGATGGGATGCAAGTCTGGAGCATACCTGTAAGTACAGAGTTCACTTCTGTGCCCACAGGTTTTATTTTGTTTGTAGGATTCTGTTATTACTTCAGTATTTTATTTTTAATTTTTCTTATTGAAGTGGAAAGAACCAACATTTGCCACCAATGTCATATGGTTTCTAAGTAATATGCTTATCTTAAGATTAATTCTGAGCATAGATAAAATACTTCATGTGCCTTCAGATTTGAGGGTTTTTTACAAAATATTTCTGCTAGTAGAATTTTCAGGGTTGAACTGGGGGTAGAATTTGATATTATGGAAGAGTTTGTATCCCAGAAAAAACATAAGTCTCTTTAATGTACAGAAAGGAGTAAGAGTGGAAAAATATGAAAATAATTTGTTTGTCCTAGAAAGTTAAATGCAGAAATGCAACTATGACAATATTAATAGTATTTTACAATCACGTTTGTCATGTACATGATTTGCAATTTTAATTTTATTAAAGTCTCTCTGCATATGGGTTTGATTTGGTGCTGTCATATGCATACCCTGCAGTTTGTGTTTCAGAGTGGTTTATGAGCACGTGGTCTTAATTTTGGGAATTTTCCCCAAATTTCTGCAGACTACAGAATAAAGTTTAATACAGTAGGTCATAAAATTCTTAACTTAAAAAAAAATAAAATTGCTCATAACAGTCCTTCAAAGTAATGTAGGGAAGATGGAGTCCTTTCATTTTTTAAAACACTTGTAAAGAATGTGTCTATTTTTAATAACTTCTTGGTTAGCTGTGTAGGACATGTGTTTACACACCAGTAGCTTAGTATAATAGAAAATCATGTTAATTTGTACACCAGAAGTTAAGTTAAATTGAGTTTCCCTGCAGTGTGGGAGAGCTGGCTTTTCTCCTCTTGATTATGTATTGTTAGCTGGAGATGAGGAAAAAAACTGCTAAGCTTTTGCATCTGAAGGAGGGTTTAATATAAATGGATTATGAGCTAGGATACAAATTTCAGTATTTATCATAGAATCATAGAATCTTAGGGGCTGGAAGGGACCTCGAGAGATCATCTAGTCCAACCCCCCTGCCAGAGCA